AATGTATGGGTATGGAAACAAGTAATTCAAAACTATAGTCATTTATGTTTTGAAAACATGTTAAATCTTAGACATTTCCACAGGCCTGTCACTATAATTACTACTACAGTAGAATATCGACTTATCGTTCAGTATATGAAAACTGGAACAGCATATTTTGGGGCTCAATATTTATCGTGTGCACAATTTTTTCATAAAATGTGGGGTATTTTTGTTGTAATACAATACGTTTTGAGCTGTAGAAGATTAAATAAATGATTTTTATGGTTAATTATTGGTTGATTCTGTACTTGATACTGTCTATTTAAAAATGGTTTACTGGGATTATTTTACGTTATTGTCAATGTGTCAGTGGCGTAAGGTTGTCGCACTTTTATCATTTATCGCAATATATCTCTGCAGCAATATATTATGCTTCAAAATGTGTTGCCATGACAGGCCTGCATTTTGTTTCTGAAATGAGTAAGTCTTTCATTGTTCAGTCCTTTTCTTTTCTTTATAGTTTCTCTTTGCATTTTATATGAATGTACAAGTGCTAACCTGTCCAGAGTAGAATTACACTTTGTATTTATTTTCGTAGGACACAGTAAATGCTGAAATCCCAGTTACAATGACTCATAGAAACAACAAACTGAAGCACTCTTTTACAATGCAGTTCTGAATTGGTAAAGTAAATCCCGGTAGTTAGCATACAAAATGTAGCTAAAGCTTAAACAATATTGGCACAAGGCAGAATTTGAATAGATAAGAAGACCTACAAGAGTAAGATCCTTTCACATGGTCAAGAAGTAAAATGTGTGTTCACATTGCTATCCTGACTCCTGACTACTTTAAAGGGCTCATTTTTCTATGTTGTAATGTTGGTTCATACACATGTTTAACACAGAAATCCTGCATATTTAGGCTGAGCTCATCTCTCAAACAGAAACCATTCTACCTTGTGATGTCATGTCAAAAAGTGCTCCACTGTGTTTTCAGACTCCATATACCTTCAGTAGAATCATTTGGATAATTTCAGCCCTGAAATTGCCAATCTTTACTGAACAAAACGTAAAAGGTAGCTGCTAACTTGAAAACTACCACTTCATGACATCACAAGGTGGAACAACATTATGAGCTTTGGAGATGTAGACAGATCAGTAATAATCTCAAACATGTGTGAATGAAACAGAACACAGCTCTAGGTTTTTGATGAGGTAGCAACATTTTAATATGGTTTAAAGCTCACAAGAATCAATTTTGCAGTTTTACAGTGTCTTTTGTGACAAAGCCAAGGTTGTTAACTGACCGACCATCACAGAAAGTGCACACAACAGCTGTCGTGGTAATCTGCTCTTTAGTCATGAGCCTTAAGAAAAATGACATCCTTAAGTGAAAACAACCAATCCCAGAGCACACTGAATTACTGATTGCATGAAAATGGCACACGAAGCCTTCTGTGGCCACACAATGACGCCAGGCACAGGGACAGGACTTGAATTGCACTGTTTGGCTTGGACCTCACACAAATGGCATTTAATTAAATAGATGGCTAGTGTAGTTTGGTCAGATGCATTGTATTGTTTGAACAATAGATTTCTTTTGACCAGCTGTGGTAGCCTGCACAATGAGTGAAAGTGAGATCATGTTCTGTATCCTACTCAAAGGTATTACATTTAGAAGAGTTAGGGACAGAGTAGAGATTGTGTGTTTTGAATGTAAATTTATGGATTTTTTCAATGTATTGTAATTGTACTCACCTGCCCAGGGACTGCAGATGGCAACTCTGGTGTAAAAGATCTTTTCTTTAGGGGAATTAATCAGATTGGATATGGTTCATAAATTCATAATATTTAAAGTAATAAACTAAACCAGATTTTTGGGAGGTTGCTGCCAATACTGTTTCACTGGGGCTGCATTCTGTTAGCATGAGCTTTCTGGGCCCTTCAGCATCCTCCCATCAAACACACATGTTTGATGAATGAAAGTGTGTGGTTGTCAGTAAGCCTGGACGGATAATCACATTAATTCGATTCATTAAAGGTTTTAATAATCAAGATTTTTTTTTAAACTGCAAAATCACAAAATCAAGGATTATTTTAAAACAAGTTTAAAGGATTTAAATATTAAAATCATTGTTGTGTATGTGCAAAAAAAAAAAAAAGGGCCATATCTCAGTTCTAGTTGTCAGTGTCTAATTACATTTTAGTAGAAGTATATTTTTTTGTTTTCTCACCTTAGCATACTTTGCAGGAGCTTTAGCCATAGTAGCAATGATACTGACTAACATGGCTTTTGCCCCAGTTTGCACCCCCATTTAAGATCATAAATTGTCATCATATGTGAAGTATCTAACCAACAGACAGACAGTGAATGAATCATTGCACATTTTGAGGGCTGGGGTAAGACCATTGGCTCTCTCCCCACTCTGGTAATTCCTCTCTCACTGTGTAATGCCGTCAGTGGACATTCTTACATTGATTACACCCAGTGGAAATGACTTCTGTGTTCATTCCACAGTGAAATAGCGTCTGTCGAACCCGAGGCTTTTAACATTAGCTGTGTGTGATTTAAGTGACGCATTCACAGTGTGGCAGATTTACAGCTTAATTTTCAGATTCATGTATTTAGCCTGAGAAGGAGAAAAAGCACAAAACAATATGGGGATGTTGCTGCTATTGATATTTCAGGGATTCTGCTGCATCGGCTGGTAACACTGTCCATAGTTAATTATTGAGAAATAGATGTTGGCGTTGGAGTGTGAACACACCATCCGAGGGGCGTTTAAGGGCGATCGGTGAGCAGGCCGCCGGATATGTTATCGATCTGAGTGCATTAAAAGTCAGTGATAGACAATATTTGATCTAGAACTTGTAAAGTGAATCGAAGTCACACTTAAGTCTTAACTTAACTTTAACAGGCTCATATTATGCCACTTTCTGTTATAATGTTGTTTCCTCATCACAAACAGACCTGGAGTTGTGTTTTGTTTCATTCACACAAGTTTAACACAGAAAATCTGCATATCATAACTGAAAATATTTTTGTTCCACCTTGTAATGTTATGTGGTGATACAAGAAGTGCTCCACTGTGTTTTCAAACTCCATACACCATCACTAGAATCATTTGGATAATTTCAACTCTGTAATTGCTGATCTCTATTGAACTAAAGGCCAAAGGTAGCTGTTAATTTGCACACCACAGCTTCATGACATCACAAGGTGAACGTGGACATTTTAAGGTTTGGAAATGTAGACAGACTAATAAAGCTGGATTAGCAGGATTCCTCAAACATATGAATAAAACTAAACAGAGCTCCAGGTATGTTTTTGATGAGGCAGCAGCATTACAACATGACTTAAAACTCATACGAATACATTTTGTGCAATATAGGACTACTATTTTTAGATACACACTTGGTTCTAGCAGTTTGTAATCATTAGTACGTATGTATACATTTCTTTGTCTAATTAAATACACTCATTTTTTTGTGTGAGAGCCCATATATATGTACAATTCCATAAGTTCTACTCTGAAAAACTGAGGAATTAAAATCCCAATTAACCTACTTTACATAGTACGCATTTGGTTGTTTATTCCTTTCATGGAAGCAAAACATGACATGATCTAGATAAAATATGCAAATGGTTAATTCAGATCAGAGCGTAGCATGCCAGAATATCCCCACTGAACATATAGTGCAAAGGGTTTTTAATTACAGGACACATAATATGCTAATCCTCATCCACAGTCCCCATTGGATTTCCTCTATACAACATAGCCAAACACTAATCAAATATGCAATGTAACTAAATATGCCAGTCATTTGGCATTGATTAAAATCATTTCCAGACATTTGTTTCATCAAATATAAGTGTGTCAGAGTTTAAACCTTAAGTGAATAAATAGATGTAGTAGATAATTCTGTCATATTATACTGTTACATGTGACCACTATGAGATCTGGACCTCCATTCACAACACCACTGATTATAGGCCATGCAAAGAAATCAAGGAAACCCAAAAGCACGTATCTTCTTGAAAGTTTTTTCTTCTAAAATATATTGTTTTCATCTTGCCTAATATTCTATGTGCACCATCTGTCTTTTTTATGGAGGGAATGCCACTTGCTTATTTCCATGGAGATGTTATTGCTTTGCCGGGAAAGGTCCTCATTATGGCATTAAACTTATCTATCTCCATGGAGAAAAAAAAAGCCAAGTTATGGGTCAGGCAATGACAAAACCACCAGAAAAGTTACATAGTGGACCTTTAAATGTGGTTAAATCTTGAAGTATTTATTTTATAGAACTTTTATGTGTGGTTGGAGTAACTGTAGTGAATCTGTTGAGTCGCTTGGTTTTATTTTTCCCAAAAAGAATAAAGAATACACGTACGTCAGCCGAGTGCAGGTGCAGGACCAACAAGAGTAGTAGTTTTATAGTTTTATATATAACACATTTCATGTTGGGAGCGTAGAAACATTGTGCGGACCTTTAATTGTTTTGATTTTTCTTTTTCACATAATTTGTTTAACCAAAATAATCATAATAGGCCTGTCACGATAAATTTTGAACACAATATTTTAAAACATAGATACACTGAAATAAACAGTAATATTGAAACAAATTTATGCCACTGATACAAAGTAGGACAATGCCAATAAACTAATTTCTAAATAGACAATATAATTAAAAAGCCTGAGCTGAAATAAATAAATAGCAGAATGAACTAATGATTACACACATAAGTTATTTATTCTATCCTCTACAGCTCAAATCTGACATTAAAAAAATCTCACAACTATTGCAAAAAAAAATGAAATTCCAAAAAATATATTGTTCCAGCTTTTATATACAGTACTGAATAATAAGTTGACATAGCATTTATTGTGAAAGGCCTACATACGAATAGCATTTTGAAAACCTTACTCTCTGTCTTTTTAATTTAATTAATTTATTTTTCATAAATTTTCATAAGTCATAAAACAAACCTTCAAAACGTTCTCTTTGTCTTTACAGGTTCACCATAAGCATCACCATGACTCGCTGGGATCGCTCCTCCGCTGTGTTCCCCGCCCTGAGACTAACAGTCATCGTTGTGATTCTCCTCCTCAAAGTCCAACCCTCTGTGGCTGGAGCGCCCCCTCAGCCCAGCTCGGACGGCTCTGTCTCTGCTGTTTCCACTAATAAATCTGAGTGCAGCAAACCAGAGGAGTGCTCCAGAGGGGTGATCTTGCCAGTTTGGGAGCCCATAAATCCTTCATTCGGTGACAAGGTTGCCCGGGCTACGGTTTACTTTGTAGCCCTTGTCTACATGTTTCTGGGAGTGTCCATTATCGCAGACCGCTTCATGGCATCGATAGAGGTCATTACATCCCAAGAGAAAGAAATCACAATTAAGAAACCCAATGGGGAAACTACGACCACCACTGTCCGAATCTGGAACGAAACTGTGTCAAATTTAACTCTCATGGCTCTTGGTTCCTCTGCTCCTGAGATTCTGCTGTCCGTCATTGAGATTATCGGCCATGGGTTTGACGCTGGCACTTTAGGACCCTCAACCATCGTAGGTTCCGCCGCGTTCAATATGTTTGTAATCATTGGACTTTGCGTCTACGTGGTGCCCGATGGCGAGACCAGGAAAGTCAAGCATCTCCGAGTCTTCTTCGTCACGGCAACCTGGAGTATCTTTGCGTACATTTGGCTCTACCTGATCCTGTCGGTGATCACGCCGGGTGTGGTACAGGTGTGGGAGGGGCTTCTGACCTTCCTCTTCTTCCCCATCTGTGTGGTCTTTGCTTGGATAGCTGATCGGCGTCTGCTCTTCTACAAGTATGTGTACAAGCGCTACCGGACTGGAAAGCAGCGTGGCATGATCATTGAGACAGAGGGAGACCGACCCCTGCCTTCCAAGGTATTAACACTGTCTATTCATAGAGGTGTTGTCTTTATGGACAGAGGAACTACTGGCTTAACCATTCTTAAATTAACCTATTAGTCTTCCCACAAATACAAATACAAGGGTACAAGTCTGCATGCCATCTCTTTGTTTAAAGGGTCCATATTACGATTTTTAATGGAGGACCTTTAAGATTTTTTGCACAAATACAGCAGCCCTACTATTAAAATCACAATATTTCATTTTCTATTCTATACTCACTTAACAAACAAAATCATATTATTTGTTGACATTTGTACACATTGACACATATTGTGCACTTTTAGTTTTTAACCAGCCTTTAAACCTTTTAGTTTTTAATGGTGTTCCCTGATCATTACCAGACTGAAAGTTGTGTTTTGATTTCTTCATGCATGTTTGAGTAATCCAGTATTGTCCTGCATTTGTCCTGAGGCTTGAGTGCTTCTACATTTCCTTTTTTTTTTTTTTTTTTTTTACACCTTCCACCTATCTCTGTCTTCATTCCTGTAATTTTTTTGGGATTATTAAAAAAAAAAAAAAAAGCTGTATATACAAAGTGAAAACCCTGAAGATGTGGGGCCTGGCATCTTTATAGTTTTGAACTGAAAGTTATCTTATCCCTTAAACTGTCAATATTCCAGTTTACAGTCAACAGCAAGGCAAACTAACAATCTACTCATCTTATAATCTAATTCTAAGTACCAGAAATAATCATTTGTCACATTTAAGTTGAAAAGCAATTGCCAGGAATCAGTTTGCTAATTGCATTATTTTGATTCCATGACTACAGGTGGACATTGAGATGGATGGTAAAATGCTGAACTCACACGCCATTGACTTCCTGGACGGTCCCCTGGGATTTGATATCGACGAGAAAGATCTGGATGAGGAGGAGACCAGGAGGGACATGGCCAAGATCTTGAAAGAACTCAAACAGAAGCACCCAGACAAAGAGGTTAGTGTGAGAGAAAGAGTGATTAAATAATAATGCCCCAGTAGTAAAGGCTATCCCAGGGGCTAGTAACTGTGCAAAAATATAGATGTTCTCTGGGGCAAAGACCTGACCTAAAAATGCAATGAAAGCTCAGGTTTTGACACAGGTTTTCTCTCACAGTTTTAATAGATATGATACAGAACAATTTATATATAAAATCTATAGTTACTTACATCTGCTCATAAAGGATACAATGTTGTTTTGACAAATTAGATTTAGACTTAGACAAACTTTATTGATCCACAAGGGAAATTATTTGTACACAGTAGCTCACACATCACAATATAATATTATAACAGAGCAAAAATATAAATGGCAATAATAAATTCTAAATTAGTAGCAAAAAAGATATCAGGGGACAGGTGTTGAATAAGACATTATATAAATGTATATGTACAAGTCAAAATAAAATAGAAAGATAAGTAATAAAATATTCAATCACAGCTTTATACAAGAGGTCATAGGGAAACAGTGCAACAGTGACATGATGATTGACAGGATATAGGGTTATCTATTACATAACAGTGAGTTGTTGTACAGTTGTATTGAGTTTGGTATGAATGTAATCCTGTATCTCACTGTTTGAGTGGAGCTGTAGGAGTCTGTTGGAGAATGAGCGAACAAAATCAACTCTAGTGAACTTATAACACTCTTAGCAGCATAACTAATGGAATGCCAGAATTAAAGGGACAGACTGGAATTTTGCACATAGGACCTTATTTCCTAGAGAGCTAGGTGGAAAGTGGAACCACTTTTTAAAAAATATTTCATCCAGTCCTTATATTTGCAGAAGTTACTGGTGCTAGGCTAACGCATGACAACGGCTATAGTTAGCCTGCCACTAAAAACAGTCTTACCCACTCCACAAAACCCCTAAAGCAAATTAAAAGCATTATTATGTCAGACTGTCGATGTAAATGTTTGTGTTGATAGAATAATGTTTGAAGTAAAACTAACCTTGCATCATGAATTGCATGAGTTTTGAGGGACTATTTTCTCAGCAGGAGCAGAATTTTACTTTGCCGTAAGATAGGTGTTAGGTGATATCAGTCCGCCGCTGCCAAACTTTCTATCAGGAAGTACAACATGCTGCTGCTCAGACATAAATTCTTCAAATGCAAGGTTGGTTTTACTTCTAAAATTATTCTATCGACACAGACATTCACATCGACAGTCTGGCGTTATAATAGATTTGCTTCAAGTGTTTTGTGGAGTGGGTAAGACTGTTTGTAGTGGCAAGCTAACAATGGCCATTACCATGAGCTAGCCTAGCACCAGCGACCGCTGCAAATACAAGGACTGGATGGAATATTTTGAAAAAGTGTCTCCAAAAGTCTGTCTCACTAGGAAATGAGGTCCTATGTCCAAATTCTGGATTGTCCCTTTAATGAATGAACTGTGAAAGTTTATTTAGTACCCAGTGATGGGAAGAATATTTTGAAAATGTATTTAGCTACAGAAACCTGAATCCCTGCATTAAAATGTATTTTGTAACATATTCTGATACATGGGCCCATCAGGGTACTGTCTTCTGAATACTTTTACTTCGAGTCACATTTAAATTATAGTGTAAAAACTCGACATATGATTAAAAACAGCTTTGTGTTTGTTCCACTGTTTGTTATGCATTTCCTATCACTCATTGCAGGAGGAAAAATCACACATGCATGCAACACAAGAGCAGCGTTGTCTATTTTACTCACTAATTCTATGTAGTTTGAAGCCTAAATTGTGTGATCAAACACCACAATGTATTCCTCCAATTTTAGAAAAGTATTCTATATTCTGAATATCGTCAAAAGAAAAAGTAACTATACTGGAACAGTTCCACAAAAATTGTATTCTGTTAGTATCACTGTTACTCTCCATTATTGTCAGAGGAGGCCTAATCAAGAACAGCTGGACAGTCATCTGTGAAAGACTTTGATTCAAATAAATTAATTTGTGTGCTTTGAAAAAATTACAACTGTGGACATGGAAAATAGTTTCTTCAACTCACAATGCAAAATTATTTGGGGACTTTTCTGTGTTTTGTGATGAAATTTGTATTTTTCTCTTAATGTGTTGATAAGCCCCAGGCAGTTGTCGTTTTGGAGAGAATGAAAGTGCACTGTTATACATGAGCCTAATAAACTTGTTTAGGTTGTAAAGTTTATGAGTTCCCTCCCTCCTCTTATTACATTGAGTTGGTGATGGAAGATGATTGAGTAATGGTCGCTTTAGGCGTAATAATATGATTCATTCGCACTGCCATGGCTTAGGCCCCATCAGACCAAAGCTCCACTGGTTATAAATTATTTACTCAAGTAGGCAAGTACAGTAGATTTTTACGTTGTCAAGGCAGAGTATTGTGTGGTTTTGTGGGGCTTTTTACAGGTTGAGATGTCAAGGAATCTTCTTATATTGCCATGGGAAGACTTTTTGACTTTGCTTGACTCTTTCTTATTTCTTTCTTCAGGTGGAACAACTCATTGAACTTGCCAACTACCAGGTCCTGAGCCAACAGCAGAAGAGCCGTGCATTCTACCGTTGCCAGGCGACCAGGCTCATGACAGGAGCTGGAAATATCCTCAAAAAACACGCCGCTGATCAAGCCCGGAAAGCCGTGAGCATGCATGAGGTCCGATCTGATGCTGGGGAAAACGACCCAGTCTCCAAGATCTTTTTCGAACCAGGCTCCTACCAATGCCTGGAGAACTGCGGCACCGTTGCAGTTAACATTGTGAGGCGTGGTGGAGATCTCGGTAAAACCCTTTCAGTGGAGTACCGCACGGAAGATGGCACCGCGAACGCTGGCTCTGATTACGAATTCACTGAAGGCGTGGTCGTGTTCAAGCCTGGCGAAACCATGAAAGAAGTCCGCGTTGGAATCATTGATGACGATATCTTTGAAGAAGATGAGAACTTCCTGATTCACCTGTCCAATGTGAAAGTGCTGACGTCAGAGGGGGAGGAGCCAGAGGAGGGTGAATCGGCCAATCACGTCGACTCCGTGGCCTGTATTGGCTTACCTTCAACAGCTACAGTCACGATCTTTGATGACGACCATGCCGGTATCTTTACCTTTGAGGAGCCTGTGGTCCATGTGAGCGAGAGCGTGGGCACCATGGAAGTCAAGGTGCTGCGTACGTCTGGAGCTCGCGGCGTGGTCATGCTGCCGTACAAGACGGTAGAAGGAACGGCCAAAGGAGGAGGGGAAGACTTTGAAGACACTCATGGCGTCCTTGAATTTCAGAATGATGAGATTTTGTGAGTACCCTGACTTACATTTTGGATTTTTTTCACAGTATTTGGAATGGGTGTTTGTTATAAATGAAGTTAAAGTCTCTGTGTGTGTGTGATGTGGTGGTTGATGTAGGTGGACTCTGCGATATTTGCAAAAAAGATCCATTTTACTTGAGCTATTTTCTGTCCTTTATACTGTTCTTTCTCTTTTTTCACTCCTGTTTTGTTGCTGCACTCTTGATGCTGTTCTGTTCATTTGTTGTTGAGCAAAAACAAGGTTAAAAGAAGTCATCAGAAAAACACTCTCAAAATTGTTGGCTCTGCACAGCTTCTAAAAAATAGAATTTCTCTGGCTTAAATTCAAATGTATCAGAGCTAGAAGTTGATGTTCTTTTGCACAAATAGTTAACCAACAATTTATCAGCAAGCAGCAATAAGAACTAGCGGGATTAATTTGGGAACATAAATGAAGATTTGACCTTTTTAAATATGCTTATATTGAAAGACAAGTCCCCATAGCAACTGGTCCCTGTGGCAGCTCGCCGTTGTCCTTTCTGTTGAAAAAAGGTCTTGAAACGGCACTTGTAGGATACCCGCTGTGAAATTCCACAGCAACAGTTCAAGCTGGTCTTGGTCGACCAAGGACCCTATTATCCGATGGTGAGTCATGGTGAGGGCCGTGATTGCCTTTTGGATGCATATCAAGCCCTCGCGGTTAGCATTCGTTGCTAAGTGTTGAAAGGATGGAAATTAAATAAGTGTTAGTTTGGTGCTTATTGTCATTTTCGGACAAAGTGAGCAGGACAAATTTGTTTTTTGTCAGAGCTGAAAAGTATTGTGATGGTGGCTTTTTATGTGGACAAAATGAGGTGCCACAAAATTAGTGAATTTGGAAAGACTCGTAGATACAAAATTGATTTTACAACAAAATACAGAATTGTGTTTTTTGTGAATTTGCTAATTTGTTATGATGTTGTTTCCTCATCAAAAACATACCTAGAGTCGTGTTTTGTTTAATTCACACAACTTTAACACACTGATCCTGCATATTTTAGAATTCTTTTTTCAAACTGAAAACACTCTGTTCCACCTTGTGATGTCATATGGTAATACAGGAAATGCTCTACTGTGTTTTTAAACTCCATACATCTTCACTAGAATCATTTGGATCATTTTAGCCTTGGAATTGCCAATCTCAGCTTGACAAAATATAAAAGGTCACTGTTAACTTGAAAACTACCACTTCATGACATGACAAGGTGGAACAGAGCATTTTGTACTTTGGAAATGTAGACAGACTAACCATAAAGAGTCACTCAAACATGTGTGAGTGAAGCAAACCACAACTTCAGATAGGTTTTTGAGAAAGTAACAACATTTTAACATGGCTTAAAGCTCTCAAGAGTCAATTCTGTGTAATATTGGACTTTTGAAAGCTTTTAGCAGGTTGCCGTGTGCTTCAATCGAGCTACATACAATTTCATAGCAGCACTTTGGGGCAGAATGAGAGAGGGACCAGCATCTTTTAGTACTTTCAGGTTGACAAGCTTGTGTGTTTTTTTCCATGACGAGTGAGTCATTATCAAATACTTGGTTCCACAAAATTCACATAACGTTTTGAATATGCGGTGAGAATTTTGGTTTAACACATCGCAGGCATGGTTGTCCATTTTCTTGGGAGGTGAAATGCTGGAGTGTGGATATGAAATGGGTTTAATTATTACGTGTGACTGTTTGAAATGTCATGATGAATCTTTTATGAGTTATGGTAAATGTTTCTCACTGTTCTTTTGATCATTTTGAGCCAGATGTGAGGGCCTTTTTCTCTTGTGCAAAAGTATTCATCCCTAATTCATTACTGTAGCTGAAGTTAATTTTCTACAGATTTATAGATTTTTGATATTTAGGTCACTCTTTTTTTATTAAAAGGCTCGTGTTACACTATTTTCTGGTCTATGTTATAATGTTGTTTTCTCATCACAAACATACCTGGAGTTGTGTTTCATTCACACGTGTAACTCAATGATCCTGCATATTTAGGTTCTTTTCTCAAACAGAAAACACTCGGTTCCACCTTGTGATGTCATGTGGTAATACAGAAAGTGCTCCAATGCATTTTAAACTCCTTCATTAGAATAATTTGATGATTTCAGCCCTGGAAATGCCAATCTTTTCTAAACAAATGCTTGAAAATTACTGCTTCATAATGTTACAAGTAGGAACAGAGCATTTTGAGTTTTGGAAACACAGACAGACTAATAATAGTGTTACTCAAATATGTGTGAATGAAACAAAACACATTTCCAGGTATGTTTTTAATGAGCTAACAACACTGTAGATGGCTTAAAGTTGACAAGAGTCGATTTTATATAATATATGAGCTTTAAAATTGAAATCAAACTGAAATAGAGATCAACCTACACATATAGTTAATTATATTCTTCATGTATTGCAATGCATTATACAGTGACTGGTCTTTTCAATTCTGCTGGCTATCCGTTTGTATGTCATAATAAGCGTTGAATTATGTCCCAACGGAAGGAAAACTGGGGGCAGGGTTTTTTTTGTTGAGAAAAAAAATGAATTAACCGATCTAAATGTGAGTGCCTCCAGGCTAGAGCTACCCTGATTATGTTACTGTGAGAGAGATGAAGCATGAGAGGCTGGGCTGCTGGCTGCTGGTAGGGGTGAATACATGATTGCAAAGGAAGCTACAATGGATATATATAGGGAAAAAAAAAGTTTGGGGCTCACATAAGTTGCTAGTTCCAACTTGTCAAACTTCACCTTATACCTTTCACTTTGCCACGATGAGACCTTGCAATTTGTCTAGCGAATACAACTGGAGGGCTGGTGGTTGTGCGTGTTCCCAAGAAGATTGAAAAATGTGTGTGTGCGTGCGTGTGTGCGTCTGGGAAGTGTGGAGAGAAAAGACAGGTACAAGCTTCAAATGATGTCTACAGCATGGCATGACCCAAAAAGGTGCTCCCAAATGTGAATGCACTGCAGTAAGGCAGATGGGTTATTTATAGCCCAGAGACACACAAAGCTAATGTTAATGTTGGCACCATGTTTAATTTCATGCCATAGTCTTAATCAATTATACACTGTCAAAAGATGCTTGTACTTTGAAATAACATCTGCACATTATGATGCCAGGTGCCTTGTGTCTTACATATTTTAAGTGTATAAAACATCGTTAATAGTTTGTTTGTTAAAGGTGCATTGTGTAAGTTTTCTGGCTGCTTTTCTCAATGAAGATGTTATTGCCTTGTCTGAAATGTTTCAGAGTATACTATGAAACTTTTCTGTCATCATGGAGACCAATCCAGGCCAAGTTATTGGTCAAATCTGTGGAGAGGCACTGTCAGAATGTTTATTTTTCTACATATTTTTAGCAATACCCCCCCGTAACTGAGTAAATGTAACGTAGAGCTGTTTAATGTCATATTGTGGGAGATTCAAAACAGAGCAATGACATCCATAGAAACAAGAAGCTGACAGACCCTGAAACGTTACACAGTACACCTTTAAGATGTAGCAAGATTTTTCAAGGATTGCTTTAAATTAAAAGTAAATGGCCAAGAAAGAAATCAAGTTTCCAGCACTACAGCACTGCAAGAGAATCAGTACAGATTTCAATAATGATTTTTTTTAGACAATTTATTGTAATTTTCAACGCAAAACAGTAGTAGAGAATTTTATATCGTGTGGTCTTATACCGTGTGGTCTGATATAGAACAAGACCATCCTGAAACTATTTAAGAAAGGTCAACTTTTGTCTTATTTATGAGAAATAAAATTAATACTTGATAAAATGAGTATCAGTTTTCAGTATTGATTGATTTGTATCTGTGTATATATAGATTCGTGACAACTCAAAGAGATTTTTTCATGTATCAGTTGTTATATTTGGATATTTATTTTGTTTAACTTTTTACATAGGTACATTAAGACTTGTAATTGAAAGACTGCACTAAAGGTCACCAATTAAAATGTGTTCAAAATACAAACATTTTCTGGAAAAATACACCCTCTGACCCATGTAATCATAAGGTCAGAAATACTAATAGCCCTGTGTTGTACTTGTCCACAAATGCATACTCACACGCACACACACACACACACACACACACACAGACATGCACGTGCACAAACACACACACAAACACAGCCAATTATGCAATTTCCATAAACAGGCGGTGCAGTGGAGGAACATTGTACAGTCGTGAATCAAATTAGAGGTCCTCCTACGCACACAAGCATGGAGCAGACTGGCACGTCACACTCCAATAACCAGCGCAGATTGGCCTTTGGAAATGCATGCTTAAACGTTATAGGAATATGGGATTAGGAGGAGAGAATATGAGAGAGTATGAGAATATGACTGCTTTAGATTCAGAAATAGGCCTGGTATTATCTCATGCCATTTGGGGACAGTGGTAGTCGCAAGTGGTCAGGACTATAAGAGCAATTTGGGTTACCTTTATATTTTCTGTTACAGGTGCAGTGTGTAAGTATTCTGGTAGAGGGTCTGCACCTGTCTCTCCATGGCTTCCTTTGCATAGAATGTTCCATAGTATGGCGTTAATTGCACAGGGTATTTCTGAGCAATATAAATATGTATATACATGCAAGCCAAGTGAGTTTAATGCCGTACCCTGGGACTTTTCTGCCTCTTGTTGACTGACCAGACTACTGCGACAGACCACAGTATTTCAGTACATTTGATTAAAGGGCCCATAATATTGTTTCCTCATCGAAGACATGCCTGGAGTTATGTTTTTTTAATTTTTTTTCAAACATGTTTAACACACAAACTCTGCATATTTACACTGAGTTTTTAAAATACTCTGTTCCACCTTATGATGTCATGTAGTAGAAGAAGTGCCCTACTTTGTTTTTGAACTTCATTTGGATAATTTCAGCCCTGGAACCTACACCGTACTAAAGGTAAAAAGTAAGTTCTAACTTGAAAACTACCACTTCATGACATCACAAGGTGGAACAGACCATTTTGAGCA